GGGATGTTAAATGATGTTTACTTAGAGAATGAATTTTATCAGCTAAGTTTTAGAATTTTATTTATTTGGAAATATATAAAAATGGTATTCATTCTCTTTTGAAAATATTTTACATATAACCATTGCCAGAGGGGAGGAAGATGGATGACAGTTCAATGACCTATGATTCTGTAAATGGATTAAATGGTTTAAATTCATAGCTAACTGGAAATTTTACTCTCACTAAAGAAAGTCCATCTAAATTACAAAGCTATATAAAAGTTATTATGATCATTAAATTTTAAGTACCAGTTCTTAGAAAGGGTCACACATTTGAAATAAATAGTATTATTATATTTCTTATCATATGGTACCTAGATATTCTATAATTAGGACAATCAATCATTTCTTAATATATATTCTTTAAAATAACCTTATGTGGTACTCTAGTGCAATTTTAAAATTACAGATACTGAAATTGAAACCCAAGAGCTTAAACAACTGCCCCAGAGTTAAAACACACATATTTTAAAAGGCCACGTTTACCATAAGGATGTCTATCTGCCCTGACCATTGCCTTGCAAGAACAATTTTGCTTCTAGAGTTATCCAAGCTGTGAAGGTTGAGGGCACACCTCCATAAGACCACTCTCACTCTGACACTAACTGCAAATTTGGGAGCTTTTCAAAACCACTCTCCATTTCAATAATTCACAATAAGGACTCACATAACTCTCTAAAAGCTATTATACTCACAGTTACAATATATTAGAGGGAAAGGCTTTAGAAGAAAGTCAGGCAAAGGAAGAGACTCATAGAGTAGATTTGGGAAGATTCCAAATGCTGTCCTCCCCTGTAAAGTTGACCCTCCCAGTATCAATGTGTGACAGCGAAGCATTGAAAGCTTACTTGACCTTCAGTGTCCAGAATTTTCATTGGATCATTATTACATAGTTTTGATTGATTGACTGCCAAAGTGGTTGAAGTCAAACTCCAGGTCAACAGATACCATAAAATTCAAATCCCACCCTAAATCACATAATAAGTCTTTCTGGAGTAACCACTCCTGCCCTAAATAGACCCTCCTGTCAGTTATAGTATAGATTTCCTCCTGGAAGACAAGGGCAAACTGAAACCTTTTTTTTGGACAAGGCCGAGTTCTTTACTATAAACCACCAAATGTTTCATACAGTCATTTATTTCTGGTCATTCATTTAGTTAAGACCTACTAATTTAGTAACTGCTTTATGACTGAAAACTAGTAAAGAGTCATGTTCCCCGCTCTTAAAAATTTGTGAGGGAGTAAATGTTAAAATATAACTATACTAGAGGCCTGGTGCACAAAAATGTGTGCACTCGGTGGGGGGGGTCCCTCAGCCTGGCCTGGGCCCTCTTGCTGTCTGGGACCCCTCGGGGGATGTCCACCAGCTGGCTTAGGCCCACTCCCCGGGGTATCGAGCCTAAGCTGCCAGTCAGACATTCCTCTGGCAGCCCGGGAGCTCTCGTGGGATATCCACTTGCCAGTGAGGAGCAGGCCTAAGCTGCAGTCGGACATCCTTAGCACTGCTGAGGAGGTGGGAGAGGCTCCCACCACCACCACTGTGCTGGCAGCCATCAATCTGGCTTGTGGCTGA